ATTAGGGAGGGCCTCCTCTGCCAGAGGACGAGTTTACGAAAATCTATAGTAGTTTTTATTATAAACAAATAAAAATCGCTTTTCAATCCGCTATCGAGAGGTGGCTATACTGAAAAGTTGAGCCTACCCTAGATTGAAATCGCTCCGCCGCCTCTGTATAGTTGTGTTTTTTGCTTTTCTGTTGTTAATTTTCTGATGATGACAATTGTGAATTGTCGAAAGGTCGAAATAAAGTTAGAATTTTCGTATAGAAAATGTTCTTTGTTGCAATGTTATACTCTTTTATTCCTATAATATTTCGTATTGCACCTTCCTCTAATTACAAATTAATCCAATAAATCAAATCTTTAACTGGCACGTTCATAATTTATAGATGCACTTAAGAGTATTCCTTACATATTTTGTAGCTCAATGTAAGCTGACTGATCTGGTATATAACTCGATATATTTAATATTAAAATATCAGTCTCAATATGCGCCTCTCACACATATACGATGGTACCAAGCTAAAGATAAACTTTGTGAGTGAAAGAGTTCGATATTCTATGAATTATATCATAGAAAGACAAACGGTAACTTAAAAAGCATACAGACAGTGAAAGTCTCATATCATCTGAAAAATTCATTTTTGCTACAATTTTGTAGAGACTGAAAAGCTGCATAGCATGTTAAAAAGTTCAGCTTAATTAGATTTTATTAAAAAACTGTGAGCTTAAGATGATCGATGACAGTACTCGGAAGAACTGAAGATGTAGTCAATGATCCGAATCAACAGCAAAGATAGTAATCGATTGATTTAAACATATGTCTAATTGAAATGGATTTTGAGACAGATCGAATGAATCAATGATCAAAACAAATAAAATTTATTCATTGAGATTCATTCAAAGAAAACTCATCAACATCCTTATTGATCAGTTCAATCATTTCGAAAACATTGATCACATTGTCTTGACCAATCACTATCAGATATTGATCAAGCAAATCACTATCACTTGGATATTTCTTCTCCAATGATCTCATTTGATTTCAAATGACATCAATTTCTACTTCAATTAGATGATCAAATAATAGCTCAACAATTGATTTCTAGTAGATACGTTTTCTTATTCGATAACTAAGAGATTCATTTTCAATTCGAGTCAATTTCTATCAAATAGAAGCAAAGACAATGAATCTGTCTCGATTGATTGTCATTGTCTGAAATAGAGAAATGAAAGAATATTCAATCTAGTAAAAGATAAGGTCTTTCAAAGTCATTTGATGGAGTAAAACAATGAAGAAAATGTTTTTAAATGTGTATTTGTTTCTGATCATTGGTCGATGACAATGAGACATATTTTTCTTAGTTCATTCGTTGATCATCATTGCACTTCTAGGAGATTTTCTCTTTGAAAATATATTTCTTCACCTTTTCAATTCGATGGAATAGTGTTTCAAATGATTTTCTTTCTCTGAATTCCATTTCTCAATTGGAAAGTTTTGAAGACATGTGGTCGATCCTCTGTCAAAGCCTATCATGTTGATTACTGACAATCAATATGAACCATCGAAAACGATCACTTACTTTCCTTCAATCAAGTCGAACATTATTGTCCTGGATTTTTCACTAGAAAATACGTTCTTCCAATAGATTCAAATGTTAAACAATTGTAAATCAATGTCACTGCTTATCAATGGATCTGCTATTGATATGAAGAAAGAACGATATTGAAAATATCGTTCGTTAGTCTTTTTCAATGAGAATGATTTACCTTTTTTCAATCAATTCCCACAATAAAAATATCAATGAGAAAAAACGTGACATTTATCTTGATCATAGAGAAATACCTTGATTGATGAAGACGTATGGAAAAAGAAATCATTTTCTTCGTTGATATCTTGTCAATTTCAAATTTTGATTTTCTAGAGATCGAATCCAAAATAAATGTGAAGATTTTCAATGGAGAATATATCTTGATTGAAATCTGATCAGATAATTCTGCCAATTGATTTCAATCAGCTAGATATTTAAAATAAAGAACCTTCTTTCTGGATTTTAGTAGAGACAAATTTTCATATTCTACGTCAATCAAATATTTGTGTGTGTGTGTGTGTGTGAAAACAAGAATAAACCCATACCCCAAAATGATGATATTCAGCCTACTTAATTAAGTGCGCCTATGAAATGAGAATTTCTCTAACTTTGAAAAGAGAAATCTGCCAGTAAATACGTATCAATAGGTTTAGAAATTTTTACAATTCGAATTTTTGAAAGAACTCATGAAGTTATTCTTGTAAATGTATCAGAAGAAATTACAACAAGCTAATAACCTTTGTTTGTCAATATTCTAGTTAGCTTATCTTTTATTTAATCATTTAAAAATTTCAATACACTTTGGTTCAAAAAAACACAAAGTCGTTGTCCATCTAATTATATTGTTTTAGTTCGTTCAAATTGATAAGAATATTGACTATTGGTTCACCTTTGTAATCTTTAAGGGGATATGATAGACCATCACCTTTCTTCTTCCATATCCATGTTACTGGATCAATTATTCTCATTTCTTTTCCATTCATTTTTTTAACATAGATATGACGTGTTGCTGGATTAGTCGTCTGTACTAATGCATATTGAAATCTGTGTATTTCTCTTGCATAATTACAGAGATGAGCACGTAATTGAGCAGCTAATTTTTTACCTGTGTGCTCAAGTCGTGTTGCGCCAACGGAAATAAATAAAACCGTATTTGGTTTTAATTCATGATTGAAATCATGATGAACAAATTCATCAAGAGCTTCTGCTAATAAATCTAGTACTGGATCATCAGATGCAGGACTAAATGTATCATATGGATATTTTTTACAATATAGATATAGATCACTAGCGATGACAGTTGCAACAATTTCATTGGTTGGACGATATCGCATAAGAAGTGATAATTTTTCATGAAATAGAGCGCTCGTTAAAGGCCAAAGCCATTCGATAAATAATTCTTCGGGTGTTGATTGAGCAAAATGCGCCAAATCCTCATGCGAAGCAAATTCTTCTGCAACCAATTTGGCACATACACGAGCGTCTATTTCATTGTCGATTACAGCAATTTGATAGTCGTCGTTTTCAGACATGTGACACAATATTTGTCTAGCAAATAAGAACAGAAAAATCATGCATATAAAAAAACAATCTTTTCAAAAAGGTTATGTTTTTATCTTCTCACTCTGTCTAAGAATTTGACGTCTGCACAAAGAATTACTATTTGCATTGATACTGACTTTCTTGTGTTATGTTAATTTGCAGCTACATATTACAGATAAATCAATGATATAGAAGGATTAAAATTTTGTGCTAGATCGATGAGCACAAATACTCAAAAACTTCGCATGCAAAGAACATCTACGGGATCAAACAATCACTACTTAGAAAAATGAACCTTAAAGTAAGAATAATAAACTTATTAAACTATTGTTAATAAAAAATCAGTAAAATTTAAAAAAAGACACATTCTTTATGTAAAACTATATATGTAACCTGTATGATAGATGAAAACATCAGGCTCTAGAATGAAACTATCACAAATAAGATCAATAGGTGGCGTCCGATAACAGGTGTTCTAGGATAAATTGCACTAAATCTTGACACATTTTGTTCTCATTTCCTAGTTATATAAAAAGTTACGTATACACCCAAAGGTAGAGAACTTCAAGTACTACAAAACTACTAGTTTAGCTTTCCAAATAAGTGTTTATTTTCGGCGCCTAATTAGAAAGATTTAAATCAATCTGATCATTGAACACTGTGATGGTGGGAAAAAAAGAAAGACACAGGGAAAGTTTTAAATAAGGTTTCAGTTGCTTTTTAAGCTATGATATAAAATTCTCTGTACAATTCTGCATCTTTGACTACATGTTCCAGAATTCTGGAGAAAATTTTTGACGAAAACGGTTTCGAAGGACAACATAAAAAAATAACGAAAAAGTTGTTTTCTGATACACTTAGGTCTTAGTTCCTTTTTTTAATTCTAAATAATCTAAGCTTGTTTACAGTTCAATTTAACAATTACACTGTTTTGTTCAGAATCGAATTCTATATTCACAAAGTAAGAATAGATATCAGTCCCGAGCTTCCTTGTCCTGATTAACAGCGCTAGGAACTTTGAAAAGCCTATTAATAGATAAAGCACAAAATTCTCTATCACTTGATGTTAAACACTTAGCTTTTAATACCGACTTTCATCAGCAAAACCTTGTACTAATCAATAAATGTCTGCAGAAAATAGTAAATCGCAGTTGAATGATTAAGTAGAAGTGAAGTTTTATAATAATGTGCTGGAGAAGAAAACTTTTTTGAAAAACAAAATTGACAGTTCTGTAGAACTTGAAATTCTCTATCTTTTGATATATAAGAAAAAAGGTTTTTTAATAGTTAAAAAATGAAAAAAAAATGTACCAAGATTTAGTGCAATTCATCCTGAGACAATCGTTAAGATGTTATAAGTGTTTAAGTGAAAGTTTGTTTATATGGATAACATTAAAAATACTAAAGATGAATATTTAACTCGGATGCGAAAATTCTCTTGAGAAATTCGCAGATATTATTGGCATTCAAATGAATCGATTTGCTTTTATTAAATTCTTAAATTACAACGAATTCTAAGGATTTTAAATAAGAAATTTAAGAACAACTAAGGAATGAAAAGCGTTCATTGACCTTTTCATGATACACTTTCCTGATTATACAATTCTTATTCGTAACTTAAACTTGTAAATGGATATGAACACGTACTGTGAATTTCTTCAGAAAAGAAAAGAATAACTGGCAATGAAATGATACATAGGGCACTACACAAGTCCTTTCCTCTACTTCTTCTAAAAGTCATAATTCAATTCCAACTAAGATATATTTAGGGCAATGTGGAAAATCTGATGTTTACATATCACATCTTTCGTCGTATTTTCAAATTTCTTTCAACTTGGTGTTTCAATATTTTTCAGTCACATTTCGAATTATTTTGAGAACATTTTCTAGCAATGATTTCACATTACTAAAACAAATGCCTTAGCTGACGAGAAAAATCTTGCGTGTTTAATGTTGTTAAGATGGAACTGGACACAGTTAGGTCACTAACTAATTATTTTGTTTGATCAATAGCCATTGATTTATGTCGAAAATTAATGATGGAGAATCATTTAGATCAGCTTCGAGTTAGTCGAGTCTTGGACACTTTGAACAATAGTTGACGATCTTAACATTGTTTGTTTTAGACTTTGTTTATTAGACAAGATTCATTAGATAAAGAGTACAGCCACACTCTCATCTCATGCCCGATGAACTCTACACTATGATGATTATTGCATTCTGAAAACACAAACAAGGATATGAGCCTTTTGTAAACTGCTGAAAAAGAATTTTCACAGGTAGTTCAATAAACGATTGGTTCAACGACGTGTACCGCATCAGAATCAGTTTTTAATCGCTATAACTTGATAAACTGTCAGTTGATACACATTTCGCTAGCATTGATCGGTGGATGAATTTTGGAACATCTGCAGAACTGTAAGCTTAGGGTGTGGGTGTGAGTGGATATTCTTTTTCTTTTGATCAACACCCACACTCACACCCTTATCAATATATTAACGAATAAGTCTTTTTTCAAGAAATTGTTTTCTCAATTTTACTTCATTGATAATTTTCTCCAATGCAAAACCAAGCAACAAATAATTTTAGATACAGACAAAGTAGAAATAAGATTTTTGTTAATTATTTGTTTAATTTTCTTTAATTTGAGTTGTATATTATAAAAAATGAAAAATCTTGTTTAGAATTCTATTGAATGATGCACATGTCGGATTGATGATATGAATTGAAAAAATTATCTAAATCGATAAATTCATCTAACTATGCTACATGACTTGTTATCATTTTCCACCAATATTCCTTCATCAATTAGATCCGTAATAGCTGAGTAAAATATTCTAATTAATAATAATTATTAAAACGGATCGATGAAGCTTGGACATACGATGAACAACAAGATCAAATCAATGAGCATCATATCGAATGATTCTATTTAGGAAAATCATCTTCATCAGTATGTGAAAATACTAGGTACACTTTCAAAGTGGAAAACACCATATAGTGTATTGTCAAATAAATTAATGAATTTCATTCATTTTGAAATTAAAATTTAACACTTGCTCAGAAGCTATAATTTGCATCACTTCAGTATTATGTTTTTTACAGAAAGAGACCGTGACGCACTGTACAGATATGAAATTAACGCCTAAGAGAATTAATCGATCCATCATTCAATGTAGTAGGCATAAAACATTACACGTATGTAAATAATGTGTAAGATTTGTTTTTACTAGTTAAGAACGATTATACTGAATAAAAACCAACAGCAGTTGAATAGAGTCCTGACGATATGTTAAGTAAATTGTACGAACTAAGATAATTATAGATAATTTTTCAAAAATAAAATCTCATTTTGAATGATGCCTTAATTGAATTAAATATGTAAAATCGAAGATTTCAAAAATCATATCATGTGAACAGATACTCAATAATACTAGTTTGATCATAGATTTCATCATGAACCTGTAATGAAATCACTTAATTAAAACAAAATTTTAAATGATTAGACAGAACATTCAATATTATGGAAATAATAAGCCAATTTAATATTTACATGAAGATACATCGAATTCAGAATAATTGCCTGAATAAATTGTTTTATGTGAAGCAATGTAGACAAAAGACCTCGCAAAAAACAATGTAAATACTTTAATATTTCGAAAAAATCTCTTCTCATAAAAATATTTATTCAAAATGGGTGCGTTGGTGAAGCGAAACTTTGTCGAATTAGCCAAGTTGGTAGTTTTTTTGCGAGTTTTGATTAAAAATTTTCCAAAAAAAAGCCTTTTTGAAGTAACTATTAGTTCAAATAAAGGAAATCAATAGTGAAAACATTTCTCTGTCGGTCTATTTAAAGACAAACTTTCTTACTTATTCAATTCAGAAATTATGAACATTTTATTGAAAGTCTTCAAATCAGTCAAATGACCATTGGTTTTTCTAGACTGTATTGAGTTTCGTGTGTTTGTCTGTGCTAAATGCAATTGTAGTCTTTGGTTTTAGTTTTGCAACAATATGATGCTGACAAACACAAGATCTTGGAAATAGTTCATCGAACGTTAAAATTCTCGCATAGATTGATTTCCAAAATACGTGATCTAGTAATTTACGATCCTATTGGATCTAAAAATCAAATACTAACGTTATAATTGGATTTAGCTTAGATAAATACGAGAAACTCATAGTTCGAAGTGTCGGCTTTGCGTTAACCGACAGAGAAATATCTTGGTTACTTAATCAAATAAATAGAATTTATGGTTTATCGAGAAAAATTCTTCGGAAAAGTTCTGATTAAAACCCGTAGAGAAAAATTCATCAATTTGACCAATGTATGGTCGAAATAATTCAGCAAAGCTTCATTTTCACCATATTTTTTTTTCGAGCCTTAAAAACCATAGCTGTATAGCTACTCATGTACTCAAGAAATTCAAAACATATTGAGATGCTTTCATTTTTGAGACAAAGAATAAGTTCTTAGAAGACAGACGAGCGCCTTCAATGTTTCAATGAACAAGGTTTGGTTGAACTGTAATCAATTTTATAAGAATGTAATACTATCGGCGAAATTAGAATGAGCTTTGATTTATTGTCGGACGCTCTTAATTTAATCTTTATATAGCACAGTATTATTTCTCTTTATGGCACTTACACTTATTTTGTTTATGACCATGAATCACTTGTATTCAGCATAGTTTCGTTTTCTTCTCTTTTAAATTTTTTCTTTTTTTTTTAATAAGACGATGAATTACCGTCTGAACTTGGGTGTGTGGCTACGTATTTAGTATTTGCCTTACTTATCCATCTCATACCCACACTCCGAGCAAAACATAAAACAGAGTAGATCTTTTAGGTGTATATCTTATATTTTTTAGTTATTTTCAATCATAATAGGTCATCTTTTGTCGCGTATCTGATGCGCAAATGAAGGTTTATGTCTAAGCAATAGTTACAACATCAAATATCACTCCTCAGTTATGAAACAAAATAAATG